TTTGATGGAGTTGAATTTGCTCGAGAGCTGGGAGAGCTCAGAACTTCAAGCCATGTGTGGTTAGCACCAGCTAAGTGTGAGGACTGTCTCACACTTCCAGAGCAGAGAAAATAGGAATCAGACCCTAACTGATTTTCTTACTTCAAAACAAATGTCATAAAATTTAACCATTTCCTCCTAAATGTCTCCTATATGTATGTGGCAAAACTGGAAGTTTCAGAGCAGTGTTACTTTCTGAGGCATCCAGACAAAACATGACCGTGGAAAAACACTTTTTGATGGAAGAAGATTAAAAAAATTTCCCTTTAATCTCAAATATAACTTTATATATATTTTAGATTGAATTTTAAGAGGTGAACTAAAACCATCAAAGATAGATTTCTTCCCAAATGAAATCTTTGTTGTTGTCTAGAAAGTCATGAATGGTTTAATATAGGGTTTAACACTGAATGACTACCTTTTCCCTAACTATAATACTTTTGACAGGAAACTAATAAATGTGTTTGTGGTAAGTGGTGAAATTGCCCAGGTATATAGAAATTTTCAGTACTGTAATCACCAAAAGAAGGAATTTCTTTTATAGGAAGGCATGAGAATCGACAGACTCAAACATCAAATTCCAGTAAATTATATAGAACTATGTGAAGCACATGCATCAGGCAATCCCTTAAAATAACCACCTGCTTATATGAGCTGGAAAGTCATGAAAGATTCCTGTCCTGTATTTCAGGAGAAGGTCAACACATGAATGGTCTTATCGAAAAATAATAGCAAGGGGTTATGGTTGGATTTAAACTGACCAAAACAGCAATAATGCCATCGAGCTCTGAAAAGATACTGTTCTCCATTAAAGTAATATGTGCTGGAGGTGTTGCATAGCTGTTATTTGTGAAATAGGTTATTATGAACTTGTCATATTTGACTGGCAAGTATCATTCAGTACTCTATTAAAGCGTAAATAATGTCCTCACTTCGGAGATCAAAATTTAATACAAACAGACAAGAAAAAATGTTTGTAGTTTTTTATTGCACCTGATTTTGAAAATTTCCGTTTAATGTATTTATTTACCCAGATATTGATTAATGTGTGCTCATAGCCCATTTGGTATGCTTTTAGGTATCATAGAGGTGCAGGGATTAATCAGTTACAAGTAGCTACTTTCAGCTATGGTGGCATTGAAAGGTTAGTTTGCAACAGAAAAGCATGGGTGGAAGGCAGTACTGTGTTAAGGTGGCAGGATTTTCTGCCAGGTGTGAGCAGCCTGCTCCTGACCTCACGTGGCAGCACACCCCTGAAGACCCAGAGAAACTCTTAAAGTCGTTTCCCTCAGCAGTCTCTCCTAGATACCGAAGTGGGTATTTTTGCTGTTGCTCTTAAGAAACCCACTAGGTTGATAAGGAACATAGCTGAGATTTAGGGGTGACAGGCTGTGTTCACAGCACCACACTGGGTAAGCTAAATAGGATGCGGTAGATCAAGATTCAAATTCCTTCTCTCCCTGTTTTACAGCAGATACTTGATCCAGATCTGTTCTAAGAAAGTGCCTTTATCACTATGCTGTAAATGGTTATGATCTTTTACAGTATTTCTACAGTAATATTTTTCTTTGCATAAGATTCAGTGATTTACACAGGAACCAGGATTCAAGTCTTCTGTAAGTAGGCTGGAGCAACTGGGCAATTCTGACTCCAGGTCCCGTGAAAAAGGATTTAAACAGTGGAGCAACTTCAGTATAGTGGTGTAAGAGAGATCGTTTAGGACTGAGCTATATAGCCCAGTGCTTAACAGACTCCTGTGGAAGGAAGGACACCCGGTGTTAAAACCTTGTTCCAAATCAGATTGCATGGCCAAAGCAGCTTAGGTGCTTTGACAGTATGAATGCCTGGGAAGCCCACAGAGTTGTAGGACTTAATTCTGTTTTTCTCACTTAGTCCCATTTCTGCAGGATACATTGGCTCCAAAAGAATGTGTCTGTTTAGCTCCTTATTACAGATAACTAAATGGATGTAATCAATGTTTTAACTAAAAGCAGGAGTCTGTATTTTTTTATCAATTGCTTATATAGAATAAATTGAACTAGTGCAAGTCAGTTAGAAAAACCCTAAAAGAGCAGTAATAGTTTAATTGAGTAGGCAACAACTGAGTTATCCTGGGCTTAATATTTCTAAGTGTATTTTTAAGAGATTTTAATGATACCAGAACTAGCTAGGTGAGAAGAGGACTTTCTTTTTTAATCCTGCAGCTTTTTGTCTGAATTTGCATGCATAATGCAGCTCCATGAATTTAATGTTAAGCACATAATTAGGTGTTTTAGGATTGGGGTGTTGCTGCTCTTTGTATTTTTTGCACCTCAAAATGATAGTTATTTGTGTGTTTGCTAGAGATATTTAGTCAAGGGAGAAGCATAACTTCTGTATGTAGTCCTAGTCATCTATTATTTCCTCAGAAATTACTTTTTTATAAGAAAGGCTGAAACAAATCAATTTCTTTAGTAAGTCAAGGTACTAGATAGTATGTGTGAATTGTGAAGACTGTATTGTTAACTTTTTTCCCCATTCATTACTTTCAGGGAATTCAAGCACACCAAGCAATTCCCTGATGGAATTAAGTTTAAAACAAATTTTTATGTATTTCTTTTTTATTTTTAAAAATGCATGAGAAGACTGTTCCTTTTGTCAACAGTGTACAAACTAATTTTATTATAGTAGGAAAAAAATGTTGCTGAATTTTTAGTGAGTTCTGGTTCATGATCAGTTTTGTCAGAATAATTTACTAGACTGAAGGCTTCTTCAAGAGACATCAAAGCCTGAGGCTTCATTCCATGATGATTCTTGCCCTAGTGAAAGAAGTGTGTGTTGTGAGTTCAGGCCATTTTTGTTGTTGAAATCCTTAGTCCTGCAAATAGTTGTGGACTGCCTGACTGTACAAATACTGGAATAAATTCAGACTTTCAGCCCCAAAGTGATTACTTAAAAAGAAGGGACAGAGGACCCCAAAGTGATTACTTAAAAAGAAGTGAAAGAGGAAGAACAGGTTAGTTGATATAAGGTTAATTGGTCTAGCTCTAAAGGGGAGCCTCTCAGTGGTTAGTAGCTAGAAGCTGTACAACTGGAAATACTTTAATTTAAAATCCAGTATAAAAGCTTCATCGACTACATGCGGAAACACTTAAGAGTTTAATTTTTTTTTAATCACAGGTTTAGTCTTCTCTCTACAGCGCATCCATTGAATTATTGGAGTTATGGTTGTAGAAAGCTATTCTAGCATGGCCAGAATCATGGTACCAGACTTAAAATGGGCACCTCATATAAATATTATTTGCCAGAAAAAAACCATCCTTGGAGTTCTGTGTGGGCAAAAGGTCCCCATAGGAATGTCAGCTGGTGTCTCTCTACCTCAGAACAGAGAAAGGAAATTATTAATCAAACACAATTTGTTAGTCTTTGAATTAATTTTACTGCCTTCATGGATACTTAAAGGAGAGAATTTAACAGATATGTGTTTAGAATTTTTAAATTTAAAACCAAGTCCCCTTCCCATCTTGTTCTTTGTTTCCAGAACACCACAGAATTCCTGCTTTGGAAGAGGCAAGCTGGTTGCTGGGGAACATCAACCAGACCGGCTACTTTAGAGTTAATTATGATATTAGGAATTGGAGGCTGCTAATTAATCAGCTAACAAGGAACCATGAGGTAAGCTCCTCTTCTCATCCCTAAAATCTGCTTTGATAGGTGAACCTTCACTGTTTCATCACCTGAAATGGTTCAATTTTTGTGCTTGCCCCTCACAGGTTATCTCTGTCAGTAATCGAGCAGGCTTGATCGATGATGCATTCAATCTAGCCAGGTATGTTTTCCTGAAGATAATCTATCCTCATACACGTTGCTGCAATAACTCATGTAATCATTAACTCGGCAGCTGAGTGTGTTTTGAAGTTAAGTATGTTTTAAACACACTTTAGTTCTTTTCCCCTCCCCCTTTTTTTTTTGTATGGCACATAAACATGGTCTGTAGCACATTCACTGCTCTTGATCAATAATTGCCGCAGGGTATTTCCGAGTCTGGAGAGGTCTGATCAATTTTGCAGCAAGTTCAATTTAACTCTTTGGAGATAAATAATCTCTTTCCTCTTTCTCTAATGAATGAGGGTTTTTTCTTCTGTTTCTCCCTAATGCCCCGCCTCTCCTTTTTTTGTAACTGACCCTTGTGCTGTATTTAATTTGTGATGGAAGGCACCTTCGAATGTCAGGAATTTTTTTTGCCCTGACTTGTGCTGTTATATAATTTTTCCAATATCTTTCTTTTCTTGTAATCTGCTAGAACAGACTCTTTTTCTGCATGATGCTTTTCCTGCAGAATGGAAAATCAGAGTCCGTTGAGCATTTCTGGAATTTATACAACGTTTTGTGTTTTACTATAATCAGAGTTAATAATTAACACATATAGTGCTGGTTAGGTAATGCCTTCTTTATGAATTGAGGCAATGGAATTGTCCCCATTTTGAAATCAGGACATCCAGTATGTTGGTAGTGAAAGTGTAAAATGAGAGGAAAGTAGTGGAACATTTCAAACTTTTTGATTCTTGAGGTACCTGGGAACATTGCATTAGTAAAACACTGTGATGTCAAAGGCAGGGTGAAGAGAATTCCTGATGTTACTGGCTTTTCTGTTTGCTAGCATATTTATGGCCATATTTGATCAGGAGCTTGCAAGAATCATCAGTACTGAGGTACATTTCACTACAAACGGTCGCCGGAGATGTTTGAGATTCAGGCACAGTGTCACACAGAAATTATGGCTCAGTGATGTTCCAGCATCACTGCAGTAAAACACAGTTTTGTGCCCTACCACTCTGTTCCTGCTGCCAGTACTAGACTGAATATATGACATAAACTAGCGATTAGCCCTTACTTACCAGTCCAGAGATGTAGTAGGGAAGGAGGCATCATGGGGAGAGAAGGAGTATCCATTTGCTTTTTGCAGTGCCCTTCATTCTTGCCTTGTGGCATCTTCCCATTGGCAACAGTAAAGGACTAGAAATAGGTCATCACTTCAGACATCGGTGGACCATGATTTGTGTACTCTCTGGCTAGTAGAATATTGCAGAGTATTCTGAAATACCTTGACTATTAGAAGAGCTACTAAGTGTACAGTAGTATAACAGTCTGTTCCAATTGTATTTGGCACCTCAGAGAAGTAGTATGCAGGAACACAGAATCAGTGTGGCGCTTTCTTCTTTTTCCATGCACTGAATGCAGATGTGGCTAGACTTCCCTGAAAATCTAAACACTGAAAAAGCTGTTTCTTAAGCTGATTTTTGTAGGTGTGTATTTTTCTTCTGAGTCAGTACTGAGCCAGTGCTCTAGGATGTCCTGTTCATGAAGCATAAAGGCAAGGTCTGGATTAAAGGCCCAACCTGCATCATCTGGCAAGTTTTGTCTACCTAAAAACCACCCAGAGATTAGATCAGTAATGCATTCCCCACTTGCTTTCCAAAGTAGTTTTATGGTGATACTGGATCCTGCTGCTTTTTCAGAGGTAGCGATGCCAGAGCACTGTGAAGTCTTTCAGAAGATTTCACATTATAAAAACTTGACTTACTTTTGTTAATGATGAGCTGCAGCGGACTGCACCATAGAAAAAAGTAGTTGAGCTAAATATTTACAGTGTACACACATGTGTGTACATAGATATTACTTATGAGGAAATATTTTTCCATCAGGGATATGTAACTAGATTCCTTTCTCTCTAAAATCTCTGCACACACTCCTGTCAGTAGTATTACCTTGAGTACATGCTTTACAAGCCAGTCTGGGTGGAGGAAGGATCTCCGTGTTTGCAAACAGTAGATTTATGCTCTGTATTTCAAGAGTACCAATAAGATATGTGGACCTGGAAAAACTTGCCATGTAGGGTATATTTTTTGTTGATCTTTCTTTTTTTACTTTATTCATCTATCATCATAGAATAAAATCATAGAATCGTAGAATCATTTAGGTTGGAAAAGA